CTACTATAAAATCATTTTTCTCATGAAAGCTGTACTCTAAGGATTACAACTATCTGCTTTATTTTTAATTTTTTCAAAAAAAAATTTTTCACATAAATTGCAATTTTGACAAAAAAAATCGCATAACTCAAAAACAAAACGAAATTTCGTTCTGAAATTACGATCACATTTTTTATATTACTTTAATTTATATTAATTATTATTTTCCGGAGGTAAATGATTAAAAATAAAACCGCTTGGTTCCATACTTTATATTCACCATGTATATAAAGTCAAAAATTTTCAAAAATTGAAAAAAAATCTAATAAATTTGACAACGCCGCAACCGAAATTTAGAAACAAAGAGTAGTTTTGTAGCATTTAACAGGATATAACTAAGGAAATAAAAATGTGACAAAAATACGTAAATTTTTATTTAAAAAATTATTCATAAATAAACCAAAAATGTGAAAAGTAGAAAAAAATGTGTATTTCACTCACACTTATCCACACACAATAACCAAAAATGTGCCCTTATTGCAGTGTGATGGTGGCGTAATTGCGGGAACTGAAGGTGTCTGTCTGTCCCAATCTAGGGTGAGTTAGACTCTCAAATAAGTTTTTAGAACGCCTTTCAAGCTTTTTACTCACACTGTGCGCTTTTAGTGTAGTGAAATGACCGGTGGATTTTTTAACATCATAATACAGGGTGTTAAAAAAAGATTGTAAAATATTTTAGGAGATAACAGTATGGACCAAAACAAACAAAAAAGATTTAATAAACATGGGTCCGCAAAGTAACGGTTTCCGAGATATCGACGATTATTTCTTAAAATTTTCACATTCGATATCTCGGAAACCGTTACTTTGCGGTCCCATGTTTATTAAGACTTTTTTGTTTATTTCGGTCTATACTATTACCTCCTTAAATATTTCACAAACTTTTTTTAACACCCTGTATATCAATTCAATGTTGACTTGACTTGCTACTGTTAGTTGCTTTGTTCAAACTTCTACTACTATTTCTTGTTTCTGTGTAGAATTTGTATGAATGTGCGAAAAAAACCACACAAAGAGAGAAAAACTAGACAAAATGCATGCTAAAATTGATAAAATCGATAGATTTTACACAATGCAAAATAGTTTAAAAAACACGTGGCCACCTACGACACGCCCAGCACCTTCGTCCACGTATATTGATCTATCTACCCTTCCGCCGGCGGTTCTGCTGCACATCCTTTTCTTTTGCATTGAGAAATGAGGACGTCTCTTACTTGCAAAATATCAATATTATGGACGAAAAAATAATAACAATTTAATTAATCAATTATTTTAATGGCGTTTATTGAGCCACCGAAACAATATTGTTACTTAGCAATTAAAACGTAGAAAACTATGCTTTAATCAGTTGCTAAGTAACAATCGGTTATTACTATGAGACATTGCTTGGTTACTAAGTAAAATAGTATTTGTTGTTACTTGGCAACAAAATAATTTGTTTTCTAATTAACTCAGAAAAGGGGGAAATAGTGCGAAGAAAGTGTTTAAATTAGGTAATTAAATTTGGTGTCATGTACACGTCTGTTTACGTCTTTTGAATTAAATTTGAAAAACGAAGTGGTTTAAAATGAATTTAATCCAGTTAAAAAAATACAAGTTTATTTTATTACGGCTAAACAACCAACTGAAAAAAATTGTTAAGCACATTATTAAATTCTAGGTAAAAAAGTGCCCTCATAATGTCTTTATTTCAAATCTGTGTCTTCTATAATAACGAAGATATGAATTTTTTTAGATTTTGCTAAAATGTTAATTTTTTGTCTATAAGTCGAAAACAAAAGACGATAGCGGGATGCGATTTTAACCAATATTATTATTTTTTGACATTTTCTTAGCCTCCCCAACTGTCTTTTGTAACGCGATATTTTCAAAAGTCTCAATTTACATTTTTTAAATTTGAGCATTTCTATTTTAGAAGTTTTTAAACTTTTTTTTTTGGAAATCTAGATATTATTTCTAAGTTTCTAAGACTTCCTTAGTGTCCCCCACTGCCTTTTGCAACACGGTTTTTAAAAAAGTCTCGATTGACATTTTTTTAATTTAAGTATTTCTTTAAAAAAAATTTTAATGTTTTTTGCAAGTCTAGAAATTTTTTAATCCAGTACAACTGACACTTTCTTAGTCTCCCCAACTGTCTTTTGTAGCACGATGTTTTGAAAATTCTCAATTGACACTCTACTAAATAAAAATGAAACTCCTGTCGGATTTGAATATTTTTTGAAATTTAGAGCATTTTTTATACTTAAAACTTTTAAAATCCAAAAAATTTATGCCAGAAACAAGGCAAAAATTAAAA